AACAGAGGTGTCAAAAGTCAAGAAGGGCTGAGGGGAGATTCTCAGTGCTTCTCAAAATCTTGGCTGTCATCCTTATTTTAAAAGTCATCATTTGGTGCCTACATTTTCAGCTTTTATTATGGGGGCATTATGTGGGGGGGGGGGGAAAGAGAGAAGGAGAGAGTGACAGCGACAGAGGCAGACAAACAGAGGAACTATTTCTTTAGCTGAGGGAGACAGGGAGGCCAAAGACTAAGGCAATGAGGCTGACCTTAGGAATGACAGCAGCTACTTCGCTCAGCTATTAGGACCTTTCCTGTTGTGAAATGTGAAGAAAAGGCTTTGGTTTCTGGGAACTGGTTGAAATATGCATCACACCTTGGCCCTACTACAGACAGGTTGCTGTCACTCTCATGTCACAACTGCCATCTGTAGTGCCAGGAACAGTTGCCTGGGAAGTGAGAGCCCATTAAGATTGCAGAGCTGCAAGGCTGTTAATCATGAGGTTGAACAATTTGATTGTGTGTGTGTGTGTGTGAAGGAAATGGCAAAGAGCTTGTGTGAAAAAATGTATTCAAACAGTATAATCAGTATAAAATTTTTGAAAATGTAAAAAAAAAAAAAAGATTGCAGAGCTTCTTCTCCTAATGACTCTGACTGTAACCAGGGACTCCTGCTGTGTGTGCAGTGACAGAGAGAGGTGCTGTGAATGTCTGCCCAACTCGTGCTGGATTCCTGTCGGTGCCACTGAGCTCGCCTGCAGGGTGGTAGGGATAAGAAAGGAGAGGAAAGGCTGCAGAAGAAAACGACCTGGGCTTCAAGGCTTAAAAGGAAAGCAAGACAGGAGGGAGGAATCTGAGGCCTAAAGAGCGTGGAATCCCCAGGTTAGAAGGCTGTCTAGCAGGAACTTGCCCAGCCCGGGTGCCTCCCACACGGTGGAAACACCCCCCAGCGCCCCCGCCTTCCTCTCCACGGAAGGAGGAGCTGAGAGCTCTCCTAGGAGGCGAGGCATTTTCAGCTGACAGTGAGTCTGAAAAGGTGATGCTGTCACATTCCTGGCACGGCTGACAGAAACTACAGATCAAAGACTGATTTTTCAGCTCTACATATTAAGTATGGGCAGGTTTACAGCTTCTGCCTCCATCTCCATGGTCATGGAGACCACCATTGTGAGGAGAGGGGAGCTAGAAAGTGTCCATGATTGAAGCTGCTCGGCTCAGGGCTGGAATGGAGCTCTCTTCGGCAGCACATTGCAGAGGAAGAATTTCTCTTTCAACAACGATGTCCTGTAGTCTTTCATGGAAGATCTCATTGGTGATCTTTATTGTGTCTTGAGTGTTTATTTATATAGATGCATGCTTGCTGTGTCAAGTTATTTATAACTAACCTCAAATCCACTGCCACCAAATGTATTTTGACTCATAACAACCCTGTTGTCGTTTACACTAGAGTCCAAACCGACCCATAGCTGACCCTCCAGCGAGTTTTCAGAGGCAGTTAAATACAAGGATTGCTCATCCTTCTCCTATGGAGCAGCTGGTGGATTTGAACCACCTACTTTCGGATTGACAACACAGCTTCTTGCCTCTAGGCCACCAGAGCTACAGTGTAAAACTATCCCATAGGGTTCGCAAGGATCTAAATCTTTCTAGAACCAGACTACCCCATCTTTTACTACAGACTACCTAGTAGGTTTGAACGAAAGACCTTCTGGTTAACATTAATCACAATGTGCTTTGAGTTGCTGAATTTATACTGAGTGGCCAATAGAGAGCTCATTGTTTCAATTAACTTGCTGAATGCCTGCTGTGTGGCAGAGATTTGACAGGGTGTAAGACACAGCTTTTGTCTTTACTTTCAGCATGATGAACAAACTAAACACATGGTAAAACCATAACGCAATCAGAGAGGCAGACACGGAGCTCAATTTAGGGAAATTAGAGATGGAAAAATGGGAAGGGGAAAGGTTTATTCGAGACAATAACACCCAAGCTACCACTTAAAAGTTTGAGGTGTTGCTAAGGCCAGACAAGATAATATACAAAACATTTGGTCCTTTCAGTTCTAAGGACAAAGCTAGAGTCATCATAATTATGGGAATGCAAGGCCATGTTCACAGGTGCCATTAACCTGGCGGGATACTGCTATACACCTTGGAGATCTCCCAAGTGTATTAGTTGTTTAATTTACAGTGGATTTACCTGTGATTTAATTTCCTATAGGGGCGTGTAGTAATCTTCTGCATATATTGGAAATCTGGGAAAGGTGAAGGAATCACTTGGAGGCAAGATATGAATCTGTTTCTAACTCTAATAAAAGCATACCCACCTGAGATTTCCCCACGCTGACCTCCACGTGTTTACTTCCTCCACCTCCTTTCAGCCCAACCGCAAATGCCATTTGCAGGGAGCCTGTCCTGATTCCTCTCATGAGAAATCGCCTTCCCCTTTCTGAAGAATCATAGATACATACTATGGCTTCCTCTCTGACCCAACCTTGAATTATGATTTCGGGAAAGAATCTGTGTTTCATCCCTCAGAGGCGTGAGACTGGCCAGGCTGTTCCTCTGTTGCACCAAAGCTTCTTGTACTTGGAGTGCCCTCCCCAGGCCTTGTTCACCCATCACACACCCACTCAAACTTGCCTGCTCTGTGAACTCAAGTCAGACTCTTCCCTCCCGGCCCCAGCTCCACCTCGGTGAGCTCAACCACTCTTTTCAGTTTAATTTGCCTCCATCTATTTCTGTCCCTGTGCCATCAGTACTAGAACATGAGTTGACGCACAGTCTTCCAGATGGTGAACAGCCCGAGGTCAGAAGCTATGTCTCACTTGTCTCAATGTCCCCAGTACCTAACTGAATGGGCAAATGAATGAATTAATATTCTTCCCTTGTTTCCCGTAGGGCCAGCAACTTTGACTTATTCATCTTTGTGGCCCATCACAGTGCCCTCTACATGACGGCACCACAATAAATGCTTGTTGTCGAATGAAAGGATCTAGTCATTCCCACTCATTTTAACATTGCGACCCACAGCATTGCCATACTAAGCTGATTCTTTGAAAATGTCTTATAAAGATGAGATGTATTTTAAGGATTTTTTTTTTTACAAATATTCCAACTTTGTCAAATGTTTTCAGTCCTCCGGCCCCAGTATTGTCCCACCCAAGTGCCAGCAGGAGTGGGCCAGGGCACAACCTACACACATCTGTCGATAGGTCAGCACACTGTTCAAGTGGAAGAAGCAGATTTCAGTGGGCAGTTATCATCTGTTTGCCCTACAGCCCTGCTCTTCCCCAGATTCTCTTATCCAAGTACCAGCCTGACCCTGCCCAGCTTCTAAGATCACAGGAGACTGGACACACTCAGGAATGGCATGGCTGTAGACTCTTCCCCAGATTCCCCAGGCATCTCACAACTGCTGATGTCAGGGAATGAGGCAGAGTGAGAGAAGATCCCTACACAAGGTTTTAGCCACAAGTTCCCATTGGCTCCCTAACCAACCCTTTCACCAGAGATGTCAGCGAAAACTCCATCATCAATGCTCCTGAGACCTTGCTTTCACCTTGCAGCAGAAGTGGAATGAGAAGGCATGGTTCCACAGGCTGTTGTCACTGTCCCTCCACAGTCCCTCTCCATCCGTGGCCAGGCAGCCTCTGCTTCCAGGGACAAGTAGTCTGTGGCCCACAAACTTGTGTTAGTTCCACTTGCCCGGCTTTTTCTGAAGCTCTCAGCAGGGTGTGATTTGGAGTAGGGATAAGGCCTGAGGATAATGCCTGGAAGGGACTGGGAAGGAGGCTTGCGGAAAAGATGTTTTCTCCTCATTCTTTCTCAGGTTTTTAGAGATGATCTGCTCGTCTAGTTGGTGAAGTGTTGTTGGCTTTTCTTTTTATTATTTTTTATGTGTACCGTCAAAACAGTTCTGACTGGTACAGGAAGAGATTGCCCCCTCCTTCTCCAGCAGAGCATCTGGTGGATTTGAACCACATACCTCTTGGATTGCAGTGCAGCATCTTGGCCACCAGAGCTCCCTGGTGAAGTGTTTTTGTGATATGGGGAACATGGGTTATGTGTTAGGTTGCTAACTGAAAGGTCAGGATTTCGAATATACCAGCCACTCCTTGAAAGAAAGACGAGGCAGTTCATTCCCATTACGATTTAATGGCCTCAGAAATCCAACAGAGGGACCTGTGAGTCAACTTTGACTTGAGGTAGAGAGAGGTTTGTTTTGTTTTGTTTTCAAGGTTTTCGCTACCAGGTGCTCTAATTGGGAAGTAAGTCCCCCCCCAATCCTGTTCGATTTCATCTTCCTGGTCACAACACCACCCTTGCCAGCTTTCTTTACATATGCACTTCTGCCAAGGTGCTCCTTAGAGGCAAGGAGTGTGGAATCTCCTCACACATACTTTGAGCATATTGTCAGGAAGGAACAGTCCTTAGAAAAAGGCGTCATCTTGGGAAAGGTCAGAGAAAGAGAGGGTGACCTTCAACAAGATGGATTGACACAGTGATTTTAACAATGGGCTCCAGAGGTATGCAGTTTGAATCCACCAGATGCTCTGCTAGAGAAGGAGAGGCAATCTCCTTTGGTACCAGTCAGATCTGATTTGATGGTACACACACAAAAAGAATAAAATTAAAAAAAAAACAAATTAAAAAGCAACAACAATGGGCTCAAGGGTATCAGAGGTTGTGAGGATGGCACAGGACAGCGCACGGTTCACATCTGCTGTTTATAAGGTCACTATGAGTTGTAGTCGACTTGAGAGCCCCCAACAACAACAGTGCTGTGTGCAAGGACCCTGACGTCACGACATCTAGCACGTTCCTTTCAGCCTAAACCCCTTCTTAACCTACCAGCTGCAACTGGCCTCAGATTTGCATCTACCATGGACGGACCTGGGACCTCAATGTCCATCCACCTTTGTTTTAGAAAAGGAATAACTGCTGCTCTGTCTCCCTTCCATCCCTTCCTCACTGTCCATTGTATGATTTCCTCACCTTTCTCTCTTTTTCCTCTCAGGAGCCCAGGAGCCAGAGTAACCCCGTGTTGTCCAGGAGCGGGCAACTGTGCTCTACATGCCGAGAAATGAAAATGGTAGGTGAAGGGGACATAAGTGTGGGGTTCAGACATCCCCAGGGCCAAGCTCTGCCTATCCCCAACCCCAAGCAAAGTCAATGCAGGAGCCCGTACTAGGCCCCTTTGTAAGGAAGGTCTTGCAAAAGGACTACAGCTGAGGAACTGTTGGTCCTGGGAACATTGTTGTTCTTATTGTGCACCGTCATGCTGGGACTGACCCTAAGCTGACCCTCCAGCCAGTTTTCAGAGGCAGGAGATCACACGGGAGTTGATTATCCATCTTTCTCCTGTGGAGCTATGACTAAGTGTGATAAACCTTCCCAATTCCCACTAAGCCAAAAGTAAACCAGAGTAGATGGGCCAGAGGGGAAGAGGGAGGCGATGAGTTTGCTTGTTTTGGCTCCTCGAATGCCCGCACCCTCCTCCAGCTCAGGTCCAGGGTGCTAAGGGGTCACATATGCTCGCATTCTTCACCACAACTGCTATCAGGAGACAAGCAACTTCATCTCTGAGTTCGTCCTTAATGGGATCAGTACTTCTGAAGTGGGGGACCCCGTAGAGAGCTTCGGTAGTACTATCTAGCTATTAGGGGGAGTCACCTATCCTAGATAACAATCCTTAGTGATGGGACAAACTAGAAGGGGTTTTAGGACAAAGGAACAACATAACCAGGAGTAGAGAGGAAGTAAGGGCACACCTCTGCCATCTGGTAGAAAGAGGCCTTCCAAGGTCAGAGTCAGGACGAGGTGAGTTAGAGTTAGGGTGAGAATGGTGAGGGCCAGAGTGAAGATCAGGCTTTCAACAAGGGTTAACTGAGTGATTAGGAGAGACAAGGTTATCCATGCAATAAGAGGAAGAGCAAGGGCTTGGAGAAGAAGAGGGGCGTAACAAAGGATCCTTCAGCAAGTGCTTCAGATTAGTGAAACCGGGAAAAGGGAGCTGCAGTTGTTGCTGTTGTTAGTCCAGTGGAGTATGACTCACAGCAACACTATGAACAACAGATCTGAACCCTGCGCTATCTTGTACTGTCCTAACACTTCCTGACACACTAGAGCCCATTGGGGCAGTCATTGTGTCAGTCCACCTGTTTGAGGAGCTTCCTCTTCTTTTTTTTTTTTTTGCTGACCCTCCTCCCTTCATGACATTCTTGTGTGGGATTTGGAAATTTAGCCAATGCCTCTGGCAAAGGCCTACCTAGATGCTGCAATCGATGTTTGTTTTGTACATAAATAGAACAGTGTTCAATATTAATGTTGACTGGAATTGAGGAGAGGAGGGTTGTGATTTCTCCTAATCATTCTCCTAGAATCCCTTTCCTTGTGACCATATTTAGAACACACTGACCTTGAACGTAAGGTGGCCTTGGCCAGCTAGATCACTTAGGACTTTAGCAGCTGCCCCTTTTCTCACGACGTCCTCTCTGCCCTTTACCCTCACACAGACCTGGCAGAAGCAGAACCAGTCTCACTGTTTGTAGTCTATCCTGTTCCCCTCCTCCCATTCCATTACCTTGGTCTTTAAAAGGAAAGTCCTCAAATACAAAATTCCCCAATGAACTCTTCTTTACAGCTGTCAGAACTAGTAAGCACGGATACAAGTGAGAAATTCAAGATACACCCATACACAGAAACAGGTATAGAAGGAAAACAAAGGTTAACACTTAGAAAATGCCGCTACAGTTCACAAAGTAGCACATTGAGGTCCCTCCAGGGGGAGGGACTGCAGACTGACCAACCATCCCAGCTCAGCAGTGAGTTTACTGAAATGCTGGAGGATATATAAGAAAGCTCCTAGGAAGAGAAGCAATCCTCTTTATCCTGATGAACAGCACCTCTGGAAAACAGCTAACACGACCTTTTATGGCCAAAGACTCTTTATCCCCCAACTAAGATTAGGAACAAGGCAAGGAAGTCGGCTCTTGCCTCTTTATTCCACACTGTACTGGAAGTTCTAACTAGGCAATGAGGCAAGAAAAAGAAACAAAAGTATTCAAATTAGGAAATTCAAAACCTCATTACCATCTAGTCAGAGCAGACTTAAAACTAGTCTTAAAAGACCGTCTAGTGGATTTTCTGAGGTTGCAAATCACACGGGAGTAGATTGCTGATATAGTACACCAAATGCATGAATAATAAGATAAATTGATTTTATTAAAACTTTTTTGAAACTTGACCATCAAAGGGCATTATCTATAAAGACAGACTATAAAATGGGAGAAAATATTTGCAAATGATGCTGAGGTACAACCACTTATATTTCTTTGTGATCTTGGGCCATGATTTCTGTCATATCTACTGATGATTGTGTGCTTAGGAGCTGAACCGAAGAGTTCAAAAGGAAGTTCTGGAGGACAAAGCAAAGCATTATAATGAAATGTGCAAGGAATTGGAGTTGAAATATCAAAAGGGATAAATTTGCTCGACATTTCTTAAGCTAGAGGAACTGAAAAGCCAAATCAAGTGTCAAATTGCAATACTTAAGGATGTTATTAGCAGAATATTGAACGATCCAGGAAACATCAAAAAAAAGATGAAAGGAGTCCACAGAGTCACTGTACCAAAAAAAAAATTGATTGACAAAGATAAATTTCATGAAGCAACATATGACCAAGAGGTAGTCATAATGAAGGAGGAAGTTCAAGCTACTCTGAAGGAATTAGCAAAGAAACAAGGCCCCAGGAATTGACGGAATACCATTGACAAATTTCCACAGACTACACGTGCTCACCAGGTTGTGCTAAAACATCTGGAGGACAACTACCTGGCCAACTGACTGGAAGAGATCTATATTCATTCCCATTCAAAAAAAAAAAGTTGACCCAACAGAGTGTAGAAATTATTGAACAATGTAATTAATATCACATACAAGCAAAATCCTGCAGAAGAACATCCAAAAAAAGGATTGGAACAGTATATCAACAGAGAACAATCTGAAGTGCAAGCTGGGTTTAAAAGAAGCCTTAACACTAGGGACATCATTGCCAATGTCAGATGGATCATGGCTGACAGCAGAGTTTCATTGACTATACAAAGGCTGCATGAATCACACAAATTGTGGCTAACCATGAGAAGAATGGGAATTCCAGAACACTTGACTGTGTTCATGAGAAACCTATACCTGGCAGTCATCAGAGCAGGGCAAGGAAACACTGCACAGTTCAAACTTGGGATAGAAGTGCATCAAGGATGAACCCTGCGTCCCGCTTTTTTAATCTATATGCAGTATAGATCATTCAGGAGACTTGACTTTATAAGGAGGAAACTGTCATGAGGATTGGAGAAAGACTAATCAACAGCCTGTGTTACGCAGATGACAACCTTGCTTGCCAACACTGAGGTGGACCTAAAGAAGGTCAAGAACTGTAGTCTTCAATATGGATTAAAGCGCCACATAAAAAAAACAAAGATTCTCACTACAGGATGAATTGCCAACACCATGAAAGATTATTAACAATTTCATCTTGCTTTGTTCCATAATCAACACTCGTGGCCCCAGCAGTCAGGAAATCAAAAGATGATTTGCATTGGGGAAATCGGCTGTTAGGACCTCTCTAGTGTGCTGAAGAACAGCAATGTCAGTCTAGAGAATAAGGTGTGCCTGATCCAGAGCATGGTCTTCTCTTGGTAGCGGTAATGAACCACGAACCAGAAAGCCGCGGCACGTGAGCCACCGTGCTCCACCGGTGAGCTACATCTCCAGACCCGCATGATCTTCTCAATTACTTGCTTTGCATCAGAGCTGGACAATGACCAACAATGACAGAGAAAGAATTGATGCCTTTGAGTTGTGGTACTGGAGAAGAATATTGAAAATAACATGGACCACCAAGGAAACAAAAATATCTGTCTTGGAGAGGGTGAAACTAAGCTGCTCCTTGGAGGTAAGGATTTTGAGGTTCCATCTCACATACTTTGAGCATGTTGCCAATCTTTGGAGAAGGACAGTCCTTGGAGAAGGACATCATATTTGGAAGGGTAGAGGGGCAGCAGAGGAAAAAAGACCCTGGATGAAATGGATTGACACAGTAACAGGGGTAATGAAGGTAGGTGTGTCAGGGACAGTGAGATTGGCTCAGTGCAGAGCAGGGTTCAGAGCTATTGTGCATAGATAAGGTCACTATGAGTCATAGTCTACTTGAGGGCACATAACAACAACAACACAGCCATTGAGTTGGAACTGACTCATAGTTGACCCTCCAGAGGATTTTCACACGCTGTAAATCACACAGTAGGATATTGCTTATCTTTGTCCAATAGAACAGCTAGTGGATTCAAAACACTTGTCTTTGGGATGGCAGTACAACTCATTACCACTAAGCCATGAGAACTTTGCTGGTAATTATGATTGTGAATTACCAAGAATGTCTGCCTTGGTTTTCAGCAGAATTATTGCCTGACTATATTTCCTGTCTCTAATCCAGACATTTGAAAATATCTATAGTGTATCTATTATCTAGACACATAAAAGGAGGTGATAAAGACCAGAAACAGACTTAGCCTTTTTTCAAAATGTCATTTAAAATTGGCATTGTACCAAGGAAAGGAACTTTCTTAAAATATCTATTTTGTAGTCTTTATGATATTTCCTCTCTACTTAGTACATGCAAGTCTCAAAGCAAGTGATAAACTGGCCATAATGTAGATAGACTGAGCATAATGCATTATCTAATATATATCAATTGGTACCCCAAGTCCTTTTTTTGTAATTTACAATATGTCAATAAATATATTTATCTAATGCCTGTCCTGAGGCAGATACTTAGCTACCCACAAAAACTAAATAGATACATAGATGGATAGATAGATAGATAGATGATAGATAGATAGATAGACAGACAGACAGACAGACAAAAGAGGGCACGAATTCTTCTCTTTAAGGAGCCAAATAAATTGAACAGGTATGGAGAGAGAATACAACCCTGGTGCATTCCCTTCCCAATTCCAAACCATGCAGTGGTCCCCTGCTCCGTTCACACAACAGCCTCCTGATCCTGGTATAGATTCCGCATGAGCATAATC